ACTTCTATACGGAAGAATAAGGAACCTTTATTCTCCCGCAAATATATCCATAGGATTAGATCCATGGGCACTAAGTCAGACGGCCTCGACGGTCAACGGCTGGGATCTTGGTTAGCTATACAATTATTATTCTTGAAATTGGTTGCAAAAATTTGCTGATAACTTCAGCGTTCAGAGGCGGTGCGTCGTCTTGCTGGAAAAATATGTTTTCGAGTTCCATTAAGGGCATATCATCGATAAGGGGTCCAAAGCCTACTAGTTAAAAGTGGCGAACTTTTAAAAATTCTGTATTTCGAAGGGGATTGCAACAAAATATCAAGTGTGCTATATTTTTGGAAAGGTAATTTTAAATTCTTTTCAGTTAATTAAAAATATAGAAGGTGTCCCAAATAAAAACTCAATTTTTTTGTTGATAACTCTTAAATTATTAATTTTAAAAAAATTATACTTAAACCATTAAATTCTACGTAAAAAGGTGCTTTGGAAATGTTTTCATAGAAATACAAAATTTTCCATAGCAAAAAAGTTACAGCGATTTGTTAAAAATACACATTTTTGATGTGTATCCACCCTGTACAGGGTGATTGTGACCCACCCTGTACAGGGTGGGTCAAATTCGACGGTTTTAAATGGAAACACCCTTTTCTATAGGAGATAGACGAAAACTAATATCGGTGTCTGGAGCTCAATTTTCATCAAAAACATGATGGTGAAAACCGCACATCAATATCTGTTACCGTTTCGGAGTTGCGGGACGTTTTTCAAAAATGTGCATTTTTAACAAATCGCTGTAACTTTTTTGCTATGGAACATTTTGTATTTCTATGAAAACATTTCCAAAGCATCTTTTTACATAGAATTTAATGGTTTAAGTATATTTTTTTTAAAATTAATATTTTAAGAGTTATCAACAGAAAAATTGATTTTTGATTTGGGACTCCCTCTACATTTTTAATTAACTGAAAAGAATTTAAAATTACCTTTCCAAAAATATAGCACACTTGATATTTTCTTATAATCCCCTTCGAAATACAGAATTTTTAAAAGTTCGCCACTTTTAACTAGTAGGCTTTGGACCCCTTATTGATGATATGCCCATAATGGAACTCGAAAACATATTTTTCCAGCAAGACGACGCACCGCCTCTGAACGCTGAAGTTATCAGCAAATTTTTGCACCCAATTTCAAGAATAATAATTGTATAGCTAACCAAGATCCCAGCCGTTGACCGTCGAGGCCGTCTGACTTAGTGCCCATGGATCTAATCCTATGGATATATTTGCGGAAGAATAAAGGTTCCTTATACTTCCGTATAATCTAGACGAGAATTAGAAATACTTAGCAGTTATGAGGGGGTACCTTTCACCCCCACTGAGTTAATGAATTCCGCGATGAATGTTCAAAAACGGTCCCGTCTGTCCATAACAGAAGACACTCGATATGTCGAACACTTGTAGCAAAATCTCATATCTTGGTGTGCAATTTATTTTTATTGTTATTAGATATAGTTTAAATGTGCTGATGTTGGTTAAATATATTTTAAATTGTTATAAAGTTCTGCATCTCTCATAGCAAATATTATTTTCGTTTTAATTGATGCTCACAGCTAGAATTTTTTTGCATTACAGCCGTTGCCGTGCAAAGCCTACTTAGTTAAAGCGGGCGAATTTTTATATACTCTATATCTCGAAGAGGAATCGAGCAAAATATCAAGTGTGTTGTATTTTTGGAAAGGTAATTTTAAATTCTTTTTAATAAATTAAAAATATACAGGGTGTCCCATATAAAAAAATCAAATTTTCTGTTGATAATTCTTAAACTATTAATTTAAAAAAAATTATACTTAAACCATTAAATTCTACGTAAAAAGGTGCTTTGGAAATGTTTTCATAAAAATACAAAAATTTCCATAGCAAAAAAGTTACAGCGATTTGTTAAAAATACATATTTTTGAAAAACACCCCGTAACTCCGAAATGGTAACAGATATCGATATGCGGTTTTCACCATCATGTTTTTGACAAAAATTGAGCTCCAGACACCGATATTAGTTTTTGTCTATCTCCTATAGAAAAGGGTGTTTCCATTTAAAAGCGTCGAATTTGACCCACCCAGGGTGCTAATAATCCATTCTTTTTTAGCTTGCATATTTAACTATCTTTAAATATCTCAAAAACCAAAGATTTTAAACATATTTAACCTCTATAATAAATGCCTTTTTTGGGTTCAAGAATCCAAAAATGAAATAAAATACCGGGTGTTCCATAAGAAAAAATATAACTTTGGTATGGATCTTAGTTCTGAGACACCCAATATATTTCAAAATAATTTTAAATTGTGCCACATTGCCTCCCCACATATACCCATAAAATATTTTGTTTCTACATCTTTCCGTTTTCGTATAACAAACCGAGGCGAATGAGGTGCGCCACCCTGTATAAATGACAGCGATGTTCATTTCATGGCCATCGCTGACGCCGTTTTTTTTCGATCATACGGTACCCACAAATATGCAACGGGTAAATTGGTTTAGAAGTAGAGGTATATATTTATTATTGTGTAATTTTATGCATATTGGACCCGCATAAAGAATTTTATTTAAACAGAAAACAAAAAATAGAAATAATACGTGATCAGGAAATTTATGAAAACAGATGAAAACCATAAAATTACGTATTCTATTCGACATCGCTTTATTTTGCTAAAACGAATTGTATCGATGGCAAAATACAAATTTCAGCTTTGATAGATTTTTTTTTTCAAATAAAACTCCTGTTTTCTTTTAAACCTCGAATTCTGGCTTCGTGTTTCTTTAGCCTCAAAGGGCGGGAAGAAAGGAACAGACGCAGTCGAAGTAATTTAAAGAAAAACAAGACGGCTTTACCGTCAGAAACGGAAGTTTTCGCTTTGCCGCCCTTCCATTTTGCTTTGTTATCGCTTTGCTAATTAGTTTTCTGCACTTTATCGGCAGAACGACTAAAGAGGGCGCCGTTCTGTGTCCTAATGAAGCGATTTTGTGCCAGAAAAAGCAGAAGTCAAATAGGGTGATTAGGACTACTGTGCAAATTATTTCCTTCTTATTTTAATACAAGCTTTGTTAAGAATGTACACGATTCTTACCTATTAAGGTATTATATCCTATTAATTTAACATTATAATATTACAAAAAGTATCTACATGATTGTTAAATAGGTAATGGTAAAAAGTTTAAATATTATACTTATTCAGATACACCTTTATATCTAAATAAATACAACGAAGTTTTTTAGGTTTAGTTACACTATTTATAACTCAAGAACGAGAATAGAAGAACATCTCTTAAAATATCGAAAAAAAAAATAACGAAAAAAGATTGTGTGTGCGCTATGTGTACATATTTGAAGTAAAGCTTCTTACTAATAGCTATCAAATTGAAGGATTTGAAGGACATGTTTGAAAAGGTGTACTTTGAAATGTTGGAAAAGTAATAAATTAAAAAAATATTTTTTTACGCATAGAAATAGTTTTTTACGTGTAACAAATAGTTTTTTACACGTAACAAATAGCTCTTTTAGTGTACAAATAGTTTTTTATGCGTTCTGGACTTAAAACTACCTCTACTAAAGTACCTGTCAATAAATAATAATAAAATATGACTTTCCAATGACAGTGTCACTACAAAAACAATAATTAATGAAATGGAAGATTTAATGGGGACCAAAACAAAGGAATGTCTTTATTTCTCCAAAAAATCCTATATGGGTATTTCGCCACTGCAAGAAAATCTACCAAATAAAATAGATATTTTTTGTAAACACTTCTGCGTTAATCCAAACGGAAACTACTTGTCAGAAGTTAGGTTTACACATATACAAATTTGCCTAACGAACAAAAAAATGCTTAACGTTTCGGAAATTTTATCTCTTTCCGTCATTGTAATGTCACTTTAACAGAACGTCAACGGGTTGTTTTTCTCGAATAGTTGAATTTAAATATTTTAAATAGTTTTTTCTTTATTCTTTGTACTTTTTCTGCTTCTGACGACGGAAAGAGATAATAAATAAATTTCCAAAAAAGGCGCGCCAAACTATCCAAAAAAGGCGCACCTTGAGGATAAAGCGGTTTTTAAATTCCTTGCTTGGTAAACCATTCCGCGGGGTGTTTCAAATTTTCACCTCCCCTTCGTACAATATACAGATGGGAACTTTAATTTTTATTTAAAGAGAAGTTAAAATCGATGATTGAAGTCTAATGGGCGAATTCGTGACAAGGCTGTTTTGATTTCCCCTTACTTAAAGTGCTGTACGGTGGAGACACCATTCGGTCTGCAGCCAACGCATAAAACACTTATTTTCTCTAATTCGGCCAACGACAGTGTTGCGATATTAAAATGTGTAATATATACGTTTGACAAAGGGAAAATATCTTTGGATGGAAAATACGCGTTTATGTATTGAAAATTCATTCATGTTAAACCTAGAATAAACAATAAAAGATCAAAATTGTATGACCGAAAAAAGTCGTTTAGTTGGCTTGGAAATTACGATTATTGACATATACCATAATATTTTACATATGAAATAAAAGCGATCTTAATTTCCTAGCCAACTCTGACGCCGTTCTTTGTTTAATCATATAATATTATATTAAATTGTTTAATGATAGAAAATCCGTATTATTAACATACTGTACCCAAAATCGGTAAATCTATTGATTAATCAGTAGTTCTGGCAACACTGTCTCCGGCAACCACTCACACTGTCCACTGAACTCGGAATTCTCGGACAGGCTGACGATAACGCCAGCTACATCTCGGACAGGTTTTGTGCCACGAAATCGCTCATAATGTTGCGCATCTTCTTATTTCTTCAATCAACGCTAAAGGTCTAGATAATAATTTATCTACAAATTGATTAAAAAATCATCAAAACCAACCCAGTAGAACTTAAAAATACATTAAAATTTTAAGATGCCGGTCAGCCTAACGTAACTTGCGAAACGAGTATTTAATTACAGTATTTTAAATTATTTCAAATAAAATGGTAGCCTTATCTATTCTTACTATTTAAGTATAGTATTTTATTTACACATATATAACCTCTTATCTTTTAATTAACAAAGCTTAAAAATATACAAACATCTATAATTACTATTATTAATTATTTTGGTCAAACATTTCTGTTGCTAATTTAATTTGAATAAAATTGAAATCTTTATTATTATTCTTCTATTTGTAATTATTTCCTGGATAATTTTCCAAACAAAACTCTGTCGTTTCAACATTTAACTCTCCTTTCAACTCCCTATCGCTCAAGATTTCGTCGATACGTTTCATGCATCCACAATTCACAGGATTATTTTTCAAGTTAACTGCAATATTTTGAATCTGTAGTCGTTCTATAATATCATCGGCAATGCACGAGACCCTATTGTTATCCACTGAAAGTGTACTCCCATTCACCATTGAGAATATTACGCTAGGTACTTGGACCAGTTCATTGTATTGAAGATGAAGATTGATCGGGATGGGTTGTTTGAAAGACCCAGCTTCTATTTCCGATATCTGGTTCTTCTTTAGGAAAATATTAAGAGCTCTGACGCCGAATCCGGGTTGAATGTCAGCGAAAGACGAGGTGGTTATTCGGTTCAACCTGTTGAAGTTGAAATTAATTAACGACAGTTTGGGACTGTTGACGAAAATGTCGCCGTTGAGATGCGATATTTTGTTGTGTTCTAGATGGACCGCTTTTAGATTGGGCATGTTGGAAAATGCACCTTCTTCGATGGTTTCGATTTCGTTCTTCGACAAATATAAAACCTGAAAAATATGATTATTACATGTAAATATTATTATTAACTATACAGGATTGTTTACCACATACGACACGGAGTATTGTAGCAAAACGATTAGATTTTTATAAATTAAGTAAGTTTTGGGTTCGTTAAAGAACTATGAGCAATAGTTTAAAAATAATTTTACAAGATAATAATATAATGTCAATATTCCATGGGTACAGTGATAAATATGAGGTCTAAATTATAAGAAAATGCATTTTCTACGAAAACTTGAAGAGATAGGTAAAAATTGATATAATACAATTTGATAGACAATTAAATTGTGCATCTGATTCTCGTAAAATATAAACGGCGTTCCATTTAAATTAAACAAGTTATTGTCGTTTAAAGCTAGTAATGATTTAATGTAAATTTGTAGACACTCTGTGTAAGGTAGTATTTTGTTTATTATTGCAACACAATATCTGATCAATAAGTAAACTTCAGTAAATATTAAGTATCAAAAACTTTGATATCCTTGGAGAAATGAAGCCTTAAGATTTCTACTGCAATTTCATAAAATTGAAAATATTTCAAAAACGGTAAGGTTTAAGTGTGATAAACCTTAATCAAATTTACCTTTATTTTAATCGTAGAATCCAAAAATAGAATAATATACAGGGTGTTCTATTTAAAAAAATACAACTATAATATTTTTTACTTATTTGGGACACTCTGTATCTTGTAAAAATATTTTTAAATTGTAGCTCTAATAGTCCTTCAACAAACCCAAAACTTCAATACTCCGTGTCGTATGTGGTGAATAACCCTGTATATTAAAGTTAAATATTTCAACATCAATACATTTTTTCATAATCTTATGTTGTTTTCCTTTTAAAAAATGTTTTACTGTACGTAAAGGTTTACAATAGTTGATCAAATATTATGCAAGATGTTCATAAAAATGTCACAAATACATTAACAAAACTATAAAAATCGAGTTTTTAAATTGGAAACACTAATTTTTCTTGTATTTTGTATGTTGTTAGCAATAATTTTCAAAATATTTGCAAATAAATATTTTCCAATTAGTAAAAGGCTATTTCCTCTATAAGATTCCCTATCATAGCTATGACTATAGGCGCTATAGGTGTTAAAAATATTTGTTTTTATTTAACCAGAATGGATTTAATTGACTAAAACTACTTCCGGTTAAATAAAAAAATTATTTTCAACACCTACCGGTGCGTCTCAAAAGTCGCTCACCTCTATAACTTTTTTATTTTTTTCAGAAAAAAAATCGAGAGATTTGGTATATTATTATAAAATGACATAAATTAGGTTTGATTGACGTATTCAACTGTTTTCTGTCACTTCCTGTTTCACCGGAAAGGACTACAACTTTTGATTTTTAAATGGTATTCTCGGTGTTTTGTTGCTTTATTAGATAGAAAATGACACTCTGAATAGATTGACATATCATATGTCAACTTTTGACATTTTCGAACATGGTTTATTTGAAATTATTGCAACATGCGATTCATAACGATAATTTGACTCGAAATACCAAGTGTGTGGTACCAAATTATTCGTAAAAAATGCTTTTTCCAAATATGCTAATGAGCCACCCTTTGAATAAGAAGACTAAGGAAGGAGCTTATCAAAAATCTTAGGTCCACCGCGATAGGCCTCAAATATGGCCGACTTAAATTCCGGTTTATCAATGCCGTTCTGATTTTATTTAAAAAATGTAAAACTATGATGTAGGGTAGACGTGGGGTAGACCCAATAATTTTTTTTTATTTTTACGTTGTGAATAAATGTTGGTAGTTTATATATATCTATATATATATATATATATATATATATATATATATATATATATATATATATATATATATATATATATATATATATATATATATATAAAATTGTTATAAAAATATAAAATTCTAATAAAAATAGATAAGTTATAATAATTATTTATACCCATAAACATCCGATACGCTACTGAAGGAGGTAAGTCAAATTGACAAGTAGTAAATAAAAGCAAAAATGCAAGAAAAAAATATATAATTAGTTAATTTAAGTGAATTTCATAAATGATCGGTTTATACACGTATGTATATTATATAGTCACTTACTAGCGAAAAGTTGTTCCATTATTTCACTCGATTTTTGCCGAGATCTACCGCACGTTACACAACCAACTATTTTAGAGTCTTTTTCGATAAATCGCGATAGTGTCACTGTTAATTTAAGTTCTGCCACAATTTCCATCTAGATTTACTACTTTTATACAACTATCAGTAGTAGAATAAATAATAAATAACATAAAATAAGCTCCGTAAAGACTGACAAATTCACAAAATTTCAAATCAAATTCAAATGTGTCAAATGAATCGTCAAACAGAACTGTCAATGATCCCCACCCTAACAGTTCTTTTTCCGCACACCATGCATGAATACATGGATAGCATTATGCTCCTTCCTTAGTCTTCTTATTCAAAGGAGCCACCCTCGTTCCATTTGAAAAAATTGAGATATGATTAAAAATACGATTTGGGCATCTTTTAAACGGCCAGGGGCGCTATTCTGTACAATCGTCGGTATCGGTAAGTTACCGACAGCTATCGGTACGTACGGCCAATGAGCGTCGTGTTGATTGTTGTTGTCATAGTTACCGATCGGCCCTATGGCAGATATCGCAAATTTGTACCGACGACTCTCGGTATTTCTACCGTGAGGTTAACAAGGGCACGGTAGAGATACCGATTTTCGTCGGTACAAATTTGCGATATCTGCCATAGGACCGATCGGTAACTATGACAATAACAATTAACACATTTTTACTATATACAAATACGTATCGAGAGCTGTCGTAACTTACCGATACCGACGATTTTACAGAATAGCGCCCCAGGACAAAACACTAATATATTAGACGATCAAATCCATTTTTCCAAGGCTCCTTGATTAAAAATTAGTATTTTTAACACAGCCATGGCTAGATTGAAATTTAAAATTCAATTTTGTTTTAAGCAAAAATGTCAAAAGTTGACATATGATCTATTTAGTATGTTATTTTCTATCGTATAAAGTAAAAAAATACCGAGGGTGTCATTTAAAAATCAAAAGTTGCAGTAATTTTCCATGAAACATTAAGTGACAGAAAACAATTGAATACGTCAATCAATCCTAATTTATGTCATATATATTAACATACCAAATCTCATTTTTTTATCTGAAAAAATATAAAAGTTATAGGGGGTGAGCCACTTTTAAGACGCACCCGGTATATGAACTAAAGTAGTAATTAGAAACAATATAACTTATATTTAACAATATCAAACACAAACTTTGCAAATTAATGATATAAATATAAAACTATTGAGCACAAATTAATGATATAGATATAAAACTTTTCGAAGGCTACTTCTAATTCACCTACTTTCTTTTTCAATCATTTTTATAGTACTAAAAGTAAACAATTTTGCTGGTATCTTCTCTATCGTTGTATATTTTTGGGCTTACCTGAAGGCTCTTAATGAGGTTAAAAGTTCTGGCCGGTACGGACGGTATTTTATTTACGGACAAAGACAAATGTTTTAATTTGGGAAGGTCCCGGAATGTACCCGGTTCAATTAATGTCAAATTAAGGTTGATTAGGATCAGGGTTTCCAAATGCTGGAAATTCTGGACCATACCTGGAAAAAGATACGGTTTTTGTAGACGACAAAACTGAATTTCTTTTTTTGTGGGTATTTTGCGAAATCACATATTCGTCCGTTTTTGTTTAGGCTCATGTGTTAACATGTAAATATAACTCTAATATAACCTTAGATTGTATTACAATATAACTAACTAATATGAAAATATTGGGAAAATTAGGAATATACATTTATACTGTTATCTAATATATAAATCATTAGCTATCGGTAGTATTAATACCATACATTCATACATGGGGAAAGAATTGTATTTTTGTTGGGTTATAAATATGCGCCTTTCGGATTTAAAAAAAAATTATAGCTTGCTAGATATTTGAAATAGGGCAAATTTCGGCTATTTTAAAAATACATCCTAATTCTGTTATACTCTATTTTAGACAAAATGTTTTCAGATAAAAGTTGTAGATAATCACATCCTTAATGAAATTGTGTTCTCCGTTTTTTTTCTAAAACCTGTTCTTTTTGACATATGACACAAACATATGTTTTTTTTTTAAATGGAAACCATAGTTCGCCATGAATTCATAAGCCTTCCAGCGATATAAGCTATAATAACTTTTTTCGAAAAATTACTGAGTTATAGCTAATTCTTATCTTTGTGTGTGAAAAAAGTGAAAAACCTCGATTCTAGCCGGGAAAATTCTTAGAAATTTTGCTTTTTTCAACTTTTTTTAGGGTATATACCAAACCCTCAATTTAAGAAACCTTTTATGCACCGTCGGATAAACGACTGATGGCGCCCTTCCATGGCCTATTTTTAGTTCCTTAGATTTTCATAAGGACTCGTAGAAAACGATTTAAAGTTGAAATTTTCTCAAAATCGAAAAATGCAAATATCTCGGAAACGGTAAGTAGCTAAACGACCAGTGACGCCTCTAGGGATAGAGCTATACCGGGTGCGTCTCAAAAGTGGCTCACCCCTATAACATTTTTATTTTTTCAGATAAAACAACGATATTTGGTATATTAGTATATGACATAAATTAGGATTGATTAACATATTCAATTGTTTTCGGTCACTTCCGGTTTCACCAGAAATGACTAAAACTTTTGATTTTTAAATGGCACCCTCAGTATTTTTTTACTTTATTCGATAGAAAATGAATATCAGATGATCATATCAGATAGAATGACATATAATATATCAACTTTTGACATTTTCCCATATGGTTTATTTGAAATTATAACATGCGGTTAATAACGACAATTTGACTCGAAATACCAAGTGTGTGGTATCAAATTATTCGTAAAAAATGCTTTTTCCAAATATGCTAATGAGCCACCCTTGTTCCTTTTGAAAAAATTGAGATATGATTAAAAATACGAATTGGGCATCTTCTAACCGGCCAGGACAAGACAGTAAAAACATTAGAAGATCAAATCTATTTTTCTTAGATTCCTTGATTAAAGATTAGTGTTTTTAACACAGCCATGGCACTCTAGATTGAAATATAAAATACAATTTGTTTTTGAGCGAATATGTCAAAAGTTGACATATGATATGTCGATTCAGAATGTCATTTTCTTCATTTGTGCCATTTAAAAATCAAAATTGCAGTCGTTTCCGATGAAACAGGAAGTGACCAAAAACAATTAAATACGTGAATCAATCCTAATTTATGTCGTATACTAACATACCAAATCTCGTTTTTTTATATGAAAAAATAAAAAAGTTATAGGGGGTGAGCCACTTTTGAGACGCACCCGGTATATAGTGGATCCCTATAATCGCCCCATTTAAACAGTGTTTCGAAAATTTCCAAAAATTTTCCTGCCCAAAATCGAGCTATATTCCGATTTAAATGATTTTTGGGCTTGGATCGATGCTGATTAATTAGCTAAATTTTTTAGTTTACACAGTTGTCAAAAAAGTACATACAGGGTGAGAAAAAATAAATAAAAACCGATTTTTTCATTTGCGGCAATTTTTTAATACAAAAAAAAACTAAAAAGGGGGTTAAATTGGATTTAGAAATCTTACATTAACGTATTCTAACCGTATCAGGTGAGAAAAGTGGAAAAAGTTAATAAATAAGAAAAATTGATGTTTTTCAAAGGGGTATATCCGGAAAATCGATAATAGTTGATTATGAACTCTTATTCTCGATGTTTCATTGCCCTCTTTTGTTATTATTTATCGTGACTTATTTTAAACACTCTTTTAATAAGCCACTTAAAATCCTTACTTTTCTAAGCCTAAATATTAATATAAAACTTGTTAAGAATCAAAATATATTGGTTCTGGAACTCTATTATAAACAAAATACATAATCATGTAATTATATTCTAATATTTACCTTCGCACAATTCGCTAATGTTAGCGTTAATAATATCAATAGCTATATAATTATCCATCTTGTTGAAGTGTTCCTGTTGCAAATATATGGCTTTGGCATTTCGCTGTTTGTGCACTCGAGCGTCCACCGATGACAAGGCAAACTTATCCACACATGCAAAAGCATTTTGCCAAAAAAATACCGTCGAAATGATCAACGCAAACGCGCATTTTTTTCCGATCATTTCGATCATGATTCGGAAGAAAATAACTCTGAATGAACACATATACGAAATTTCGTTTTCGTATGTGTATAGTTAAATGGGTTAAGTAATAATTTAGTGTTAAGTTTTAAGTAATGTAGTATCTTTTAGATAACATTTTGAACTTTCCGAGTGTCATTAGAAATATTTTTCGATGTTTGTTATTGATTCGGACGAGTCAGGGATCAGCCGTCGAATGCTAAATTGTTTATTCGGCACATTCGGTAATTTGTTTATGTTCCATAATTGAATTTACCAGTCTCTCAGAACTGGAACGAGAAACGCATTAGTATTCAATGAGATATTTATGATATACTTACGAGAGTAATTGCATTTAAGTAGTGAGAGAGAAATAAGTTTATCAGTATACACATTTATGAAATTATAAATAGTCAGAAGCTTTAAAATTAAATTTGTAGATGTTAATTTTGTACAGTACCAACAAAAAAGTTATAGAGTATACAGGGTTGTTCACCACATTCGACACGGAGTATTGTAGCTAAACGGCTAGATTTTTACAAATTGTAAGTTTTGGGTTCGTTGAAGGACTATTAGAGCTACAATTTAAAAATATTTTTACAAGATACAGAGTGTCCCAAATAAATAAAAAATATCAAAGTTGTATTTTTTTAAATGGAACACCCTATATATTATTACATTTTTAGTTTCTATGATTAAAATAAAGGTAAATTTGATTAAGGTTTATTACACTTAAACCTTACCGTTTTTGAAATATCTTCAATTTTGTGAAATTGCAGTATAAATTTTAAGGCTTCATTTCTCCGAGAGTATCAAAGTTTTTAATACTAAATATTTACTGAAATTTATTTATTGATCAGTTATTGTATTGCAATAATAAAAACTTTACTACCTTATACAGAGTGTCTAAAAATTTATTTTAAATAATTACTACCTTTAAACGGCAATAACTTGTTTAATTTAAATGGAACACCCTGTATATTTTATGCGAATCAGATGCACAATTTAATTGTCTATCAAATTGTAATATACCATTTTTTACCTATCTCTTCAAGCTTCCGTAGAAAATGCATTTTCTTGTAATTTAGAACTCGTTTATCAATATACCCATGGAATACTGACATTTTAGATTAATGCACAATTTAATTGTCTATCAAATTGTATTACACCACTTCTTACCTATTCCTTCAAGTTTTCGTAGAAAATGCATTTTCTTATAATTTAGACCTCATTTATCAATATACCCGTGGAATATTGACATTTTAGATTGTTTTTAAAACAACAAATGTACAGGCTAGTAATATTACCGTTGTTAGTGAAACGATAATATTACTAACCCATTTGTATGCAAAAAGAAAACTATTTAAATCTTTATAAAAGAGTATACCATTAATTAAATATACCACCAGTATTTCCGCCCAAATACTAATTAACTACATACCTAATTGTGTTCGTTAATAAATTATTCTAAATAAATGTGGATTTGAATCAGAAATCAATATAATAATAAGTTATGAAAATGAACGTCTCTGTTGTTATAAATAAGCATTTGTCAAAAAATTAAATATCATTTTTAAGGTGTTAATTTTTACCACACTGTCTAATACACATACATAATTCAGTTTTTTAGTACCGTATGATCGAGAAAAAACGGCGTCAGCGATGGCTCTGAAATGAAGATCGCTGTCATTTTATATGTAAATTTATATAGGAAATGTCATCGATCGTCATTTCCCAGCCAACTGGACGCCGTTTTTTTTCGATCATACGGTATTTGGAGCAATTATTATTAATCAACGCAAACAGTCAATTAATGTAGTTCGAATACTGGAATCATATTAATTGGTCCTCTTTAACAAATATTTGAACAGTTTTTTTATTTTTTAATAAAATAAACGAACTATATCGACAATATTAGTATCTGTACCCTTTAAAAATTTGGTACATCTTTAAAAATAATCTAAAATGTCAGTATTCCATGGACATATATATAAATGAGTTCTACATTACAAGAAAATGAATTTTCTACGGAAACTTGAAGAGATAGGTGAAAAATGGTATAATACAATTTCATAGACAATTAAATTGTGCATCTGATTCTCATAAAATATACAGGGTGTTCCGTTTAAATTAAACAAGTTATTGCCGTTTAAAGCTAGTAATTATTTAAAATAAATTTTTAGACACTCTGTATAAGGTAGTAAAGTTTTTATTTTTACAACACAATAATTGATCAATAAATAAACTTCAGTAAATACTTAGTATTAAAAACTTTGATACCCTCGGAGAAATGAAGCCTTATAATTTATACTGCAATTTCACAAAATTGAAAATATTGCAAAAACGGTAAGGTTTAAGTGTAATAAACCTTAATCAAATTTACCTTTATTTTAATAGTAGAAACTAAAAATGTAATAATATATAGGGTGTTCCACTTAAAAAAATACAACTTTGATATTTTTTATTTATTTGGGACACTCTGTATCTTGTAAAAATATTTTTAGATTGTAGCTCTAATAGTCCTTCAACGAACCCAAAACTTACAATTTGTAAAAATCTAGTCGTTTAGCTACAATACTCCATGTCGTATGTGGTGAACAACCCTGTATATATATTTATTTTGAATACTAAAAATCTTTTGTTTGGTTCCTTTTTTATGTGTTAATAAAGTAAATAAGTATTAAAAATGTTGCTTATTATTGTTTAGCATGTTAAACCTTACAATAAAATATTTTAAATTACAGAATATTTAGAAAATATCATTTCGGTACGGAATACCGCAACGCGCCCCGTGTGATTCTAAAGTACGCGTCAGTCCGGGGGTTAAAGAAAAAAAAACTACTGTGCCTCCAGACTCCAGACCTTAAACACTTAACCACTATATAAATTTTAACAATAGAAAAATTATACACATCTTTCTGGCGCCGCGGCCGGCATAATTTTCATTTATTACACACATACGAGCGATCTTGTTATTACTGATGTTGTTTTATTCTTGGTTTCTTTGCTTTTACTGCCTGCCATCTCAGTTAATTAAGCACTTGTCGGCGGCTTCTTCAATGGACCGACTCCACTTCGTCTGGGAAAGATTTATCTATACATCTTAATACACACAAATATGAGCCTTTGTTAAATTGAAGTGTCTCCGAAGTTTGTACATATTAAAAATATGTACTTATATATTTTTTAGTATGAACAAACTGGAACTCTGTGTCAAAATATCTAACTTAATTTTAACTTATATTTAAATATAAAGTATAGTGACTTTTTGTATGGATTTATTTAAAGAATCGAGAATAAATTTAGATAATATTATTTGATATATGTTTTGATTGATATTATTTCTCTAAAAATTTCAGTTTTTAACATTGAAAATGTTTCTGTTATCCTATATAAGGGAGCCCAAATCGAATTAAAATGCTACATTTGCCACACCATGACGTCATATATACAAGGGTATAGGAAATCTCGGCGCAACGGCGGCAGTCGGCCAGCACGCGCAAAAACCATTACATCGCTAATTGTTTATTGATATATCTTTAATAGTTTAAAAGCAAAAATATGGGGTTTGCTTTGATACCTTGTCAAGACATAAGCGAAACTTTTAAATTGTTTCTTTTTTTCATTTAGGCCTTCGTTTTTCGTTAAATGAAAGTTATATTAAAAAAATCTATTTTTAAACCAAATTTTCGCATGATTGAAATGATTATTCATGTTTAAAGTTTTTTTGGTCATAAGCGCTAATAGTTTTTTTTGGTCATAAGCGCTAATGGAAATGTTTTTTTGTAAATAATTATAAAAAATTACTCCCTACGAAGACTTTATTGTGTCTTGGATCAAAAAATAAGTATTTGTTTTCTCTATACGGTGGTATTAATATATCGATTTTTGATGATAGTGTCCTTTTACCCGGTCTAATTTTGTACTACTTTCGGAATAAGGGTCCCCATATCATGTACTGTACTTCCATCCCTGAAAAATTCAGCTTGTGACACCGAAGTGAGAGGTAACGTCAAAATAAGCTTTAATCTACCTACATCATAGGTAGGTGTAGGTACTCTAGGTATATTCTACCTGGACAGTAGCTGAACTAGCTGACAGTAGTAATTAATTTGTTATCCGATAAGTAGTTGTCATTATATAAGTTTAATCATCTTATACCTCCTATAACGGTAGGTTTTGGATTTTTCCTGATTGGTTTGTTAAACAAAAATATACTGGGCATATAAATGTCTGTTACAGGTTAATTCGTTAAAGAAATATGTTACACACATATTATTTTAATAATAATAGTATAATAGTAATGGCTATATTATGTTATAACACATACATATGTATTGAATGTACTTATTTTAACCAATGCATTGTTTTGTTTTTTTAATCTCACAAATAAGAAATGTTTTATAGTTTTTATTATAAAAAACAGTGATTATACAATTTATTTACACCCCTTACACTGTTTTCTGTAAGGGGTGTAACCAGGAGTATATTTCGTAACCTCTTACGATATAAGAGGGCACAAAGTGTTTTATTACTTAATGCTTAAAATTTAATAATATATTTGTACATAAAATAAAATAGACTAGAAAGTCAATTAATTAATATTGACGTAATTACTAAATAAGTACAAGATTTTTTTTCTAATTATTTTAGTGTATTTTTAGTCACCTAATTATAAAGGAGAGATATCCAACCATTGCATTATTTTACTCACAAATAAATGTTTTATGGTTTTTATTATAAAACAACGATTAATTTATTATACACCCCTTAACCCAAACACTCCAAGGAGGATATTTCGTGACCCCTTATTTAAAGTGGACAAGCTTTATTAGTCAATGTTTTAATTACCCAGCGTCTTTAATAAAAATCTAATGTAATTTTTCATAGAAATGATCTGACATAAAAAGCAAATTTTATCAAAAAACTTTTTGATTATCTACAAGGAGTAAACCGCTGACAAATGTCTGTATACTAATGCCAAAGTAATGCCAAAAATACAAATTAAATACCAAAATTTCTCATATAATGCCCCACTAATGCCAAGCTGATTCCAATATAATACCACTAATACCACGAATAATATGTAA